TGGCTTGGGAATGGGGGGTATGGAAAGATCCAACCAAAAAAAATAATGTATGGTGTACCTTATGTGATAAAAAAATGAGTGGGGGGATCACTAGGTTGAAAGAACACCTTACTCACACCGGAGGTAACGTCATTGGTTGTCCTAATGTGAGTAACGACATCAAAAAAAGAGTTCTAGCATCCATTAGTGAAAAGAATAAGAAAAAGAAAAAGAAAGAACGAAATAGAAACGTTGAAATCCTTCGACAATATTCGGTTGAAGTTGATGATATTGATGAGGATGAGCAAGACGTAGATGGAATAGAGATTATCGAAGGAGGAAGAGCACGAGCACGAGCACAAGCCTCAACACAGCCTCGTGGTTTAAAAAGAAAGCCCGCTAGTAATGTTCGTGGGCCTCTTGATGCGATATTGAAGCCCGATTATGCCAAGATAAAGCAAGCCATTTTAGATAGAAACAATCCAATCAAGGAGAAGTTAAAGTTGGCCGCTTGGAAAGAGTTTGCGGTTTGGGCATATTCGGTTAGGTTGCCATTCAATGCCGTGCAAGATGAAAACTTTCAAAAGTTCGTAAATACGGTTGGAAAGTATGGAAGAGGTAATTACCACTTCAAATTTCTAATATATTTCTCAAAAGTTAACTACTAAATAGTAAGTACTAACTTTATTCCTATCGTTGGTAGGCATGCCKGCTCCAAGTTATCATAATATTCGGGTCACATTGTTGAAAGATGTACTTGAGGACACCAACAAGTTTGTGGATTCCTTCCATTCACACTGGAAGAAGAGTAAATGCACTATTATGTCCGATTTTTGGACAGAYGGGAAAGGGAGAAGCTTGATCAATTTTTTGGTCAATTGTCCACAAGGGACAATTTTTTTGAAATCAATTGATGCATCGGAGCATGTGAAAGATGCTCAATTAATTGTACAGATGATCAATGAGGTTATAGAGGATGTCGGAGAGGAGAACATCGTGCAGGTAACAAATAAATATTCTATCTATATTAAGTATTAACATTATTCTACACACATACATATATTGAGTAGTGACTAATTGTTTTTTACTTATACTAGTTTGTCACCGATAATGGGTCCAACTTTAAAGCTGCTGGAAAAATCTTGGAAGAACAACATCCTCAGATGTTTTGGACACCATGCGCAGCACATTGCGTGAATCTTATTGTAGGAGATGTCGGAGAGAAAATTCCGAAGATTAAAAGTGTGTTAGYTRATGCGAGAGCGGTAGTGGTTTATATTTATAACCATGGAAGGATTTTGAATATGATGCGAAWGCTTACTAAAAATAGAGAACTGCATCGGTCATGTGTTACAAGGTTCGCAACACAATTCTACACCATTCAGAGCATCCATGAGAATCGGCATCATCTCCAAGTGTTATTTGTTTCTGAACAATGAAGAGTGACTTTGCCAAGAAACCCATCGGAAAAAGAATTGAATGAATAATAGCTAAGCAAGAGTTTTGGGACAATATTTATCTTGCTTGTCAGGTATTGGCACCATTGGTTGATGTTGTTCGGTTGGTTGATATGGAGGAGAAGCCGTGTATGGGCTATATATACGATGCTATGGAGAGAGCTAAAGATCAAATTAAGAAGAACTTGATTGGCACCGTTCACGAAAGACTGAACACTAAAGTGTGGTCAATGATTCAAGCACGATGGAGTGACCAACTTCATCATTCTTTGCATGCCGGTATAATTTATAAAACATTGCTATGTTTTATTTATTTAATTTTTAAATTTAATACAATTATTGGTATTAATTTTTAGTACATTTGTAGCCGGATATTACCTCAACCCCGCCATGTATTATGCACAAGATTCAGAAGTTGAGAATAATAGATACATTAAGACGGGACTATACGAGTCAATTGACCGACATGTGCGTGATGAAGAAAGAAATGATACTTTACGGATGGAACTCAATCAATATGTTGAGATATCGGCGCAATTTGGATCTGCGGCTGCCATAAGGAATAGAGCTAAAGTAGCACCACGTAAGTATGATAATAGGATATAATCATATAATATATATATACACACATATTCAAAAGTTTATTTGTGTTTTTTTATTAACTTAATATACCTATAAAATGTAGATGTATGGTGACGTTCTTATGGCATCGACACACCTGTGCTCCAACAATTTGCGATTAGTGTTCTAAGCTAAACCTGTAGCGCTTCTCCTTGTGAGAGGAATTGGAGTGCATTTGATCATGTAAGTTTTATTTGTTATGGAAAATATATTAGCTCAAATGAAACTTAAATTCAAGTTATGGTTTTAAATTTATCAATTATCATTTCAGTTGCACTCTAAGAAGAGAAATTGCCTTTTGCAAAAGAAGTTGAATGATCTTGTCTTCATTCAATATAACAAAAGATTGGAGAGACGCTACAAATCTCTTAAGGATAGCAAGTCTTCAAATCCTATTTTCTTGAGAGATGTTGAAGAAAATGATGATTGGGTGGTTCCAACCGRCGTTGAGCTCCAAGAGTTTGTGGATGCAAGAGATGGCCTCCTTTGGTCGGATGTACGAGAAGCAATGGGAGGTAATGAAGAAGTTGGACCAAATACAAGAAGTAAAAGGGAGCGCTATAGAGATGATGATGATCATCATGATGTTGGAGATGAAGGGGAAGAAGAGGAAGATTGAGAAGCTAACCTAAACGAAGAAGTGAATGTATTGGATGATGTTGACTCGGATGCCAAACCTATTGCTTGCGATTAGCTCGTTTTTGAACACTTCAGATGATGTGATGTTTTAATTTTGAAATTATATTTCTAAACTCTAATTAATGCATATTATATATATAATTCTAAGAAATATTATGTTAACCGCTATTTTGGACCGATAAATCACCGATATATCGAATATCGGTCCTGACCGATATTTCGTATTCTGACCGATATAACAGCATAGCCTGGCTCCTCTCCCTAACTTGAAAGTGTATATGCGAAGACTCAACATACAGTCGAGCAAATTAAGCCAATTCATAGACACAACAATAGAAAGTACAAAGCTAAGACAAATTTTCATCGTGCTGGCGTTAGGAAATCATGTATGGGCTGTATTAATAACAGATTGTCTTCAAACTGGAGCAGGTAATAACTCGAATGAGACAAAAATTGGTCCATGCAGGCTTTCCAAGAAATCAGTAAATGCAAATGAGTTGCAGCTGCCAAGCCAATATCAAGACTTTGATTATTTTAGAAATTAAGTTCCTTGTCTTGCAAGGGTATTTTCCATGTCCTTTAACCTCAAGATTGATCTTTCTTCAAACAACGGAGGACTGATGCAGCTGGTCTGTGGGAGTTTTTCTCGAGCATAGTTATTAGCCATTGCTACTATTAGCCTCCTATTGAGTCTGGTTTTATAGAATATGCCTACAAAAAATGGGGTATTTTGGGCAATTCATAGCTGTCTTAAGAACAAAGGCGAACTTAAGTGGGCGTTTGACTGTTGACTGGTCTAGAATTTGCAAACATCTATATAAGTCTGATGTGTTCTTTCCATGGCAGAGATAACCTAAAACAATTTGAGTGTTTTCCAGAAAAGAAGAGGTGCTTCGCTTTTTTATTGATTTATTGATCCTAAATGTCCATATGTTATCCTCTTTCATCTGGTTATTGCAGCAAGCCAGTTATCAATCCCAGGTAATGCATAGGCCTAGACACAGAAAGGTGGCCAGAAGGGTTCAAATACATGGAATGTAAGCATCACCCTAGCCATAAGCCTCAAAATGGGGACAGGGCCTGTTCCTTCTATTGTTCTTATCCGTCAAATTGATTGGAAATTTATGGACAACTCCTTGGTTTCATCTGCTTGGTATATATTAGACAGCATGATGCCATTCTCTTTCTCTGTTGTGCCCAAAAATTACATGGAAGGAACCCGTATCCACATATGACTTTGTTTCTGATGCTTAATACTCAAAACAACATTGCAATACAGCACAGTATACAACAAACTGCCTAAGATGGTAACGAGATGCTATTTCTGCATAGAAAGAACCCATATCCTCATATGTATAAACTGCCTAAAAGATGCTATTTCCGCAAGTATTCCCATGAAAGAAGGCAGTATCCAGATTGCAGCATCTATTTCATGACTAATAGAGTGTATGTTACAGCAACAAGCAAATGTCAAGAGCTCAGGGCTGTGAGCAAAGCCTACAGTGGCGACTTGCCATGGGATTAGTTTGGGTGCACCCATTTCCAAATGTCAAGAGCCCAGTTCCCTTACAGAGTAGGATTCAGTTCTTTCTAGGCTAGTTTCAACATATGCCCCCATTCCAAATAGAAATTACGAAGATGATGAAATAGCAGTTTGTCATAAAATCATTGGGGATAATAAATGCCAATTATTCGTACAATCCTTGGACAAAATAAATAGATATCAAAATTATTTATAGGGACCTGTAATCTCTGAGTATTCTTATTTCTTCATATAAGGAAAAAGTTTGATTAAAATACAAAACAAGCAAATACAAAATCCAATTGAAGATCCACTAAATGTAAATTTCAAAATGCTAGATTCTAACAGGAATTGGAGAAATAATACATCAAATAAGACGACGTTTTACTTGTATATCATCTCTGCATTTGGAACTTAGAACACTTGCAAAAACATAGCAATCCTTCGACGTTAAAGAAACGCCCAATTTCAGTTAATTCAAAAGATAAACACCACGGTACCAAAGGTTGCAACTATTCAGCTTGTGTGAATACAAAACCATCCATCAATCAAACCATCTACAACTCTAAGTCATCACACTAAATGCAAGCGAATTAGGTCAAGTAAAATCACGCTAATGCAAATAAATTCAAGTGGGCACAGGCAATTTCGAAAGAAGAATAAACAAAACATAAATCAAACGATCCCAAATAGAACACCATGTGAATCCTTAAGTGAATTGGGGTAGATATGCAGCAAAAACTTAAGTGAGTGGATGATAATTTACAAGGAAAATCGTTTACCTTCCATGACACCTTCCATGACGAAGAAATCGAAAATTCAGTTGAATAGCTCCAGATCCTCGATGAAGAAAATGCATCACTTGAATTCCAGTCGATTAAGTAGTCAGAAATCGGTCCACCATCGAGGACGCACTGCTCAACTCTCTCGCTTGCTCCATGAATATTCTTTGTATTTTCTTCCTTAGTATGTAGAATAATATGAGACGAATAAATAGAGTACTTCCTTTCTTTTGTATTTCACCATTCATTCATAGACTTGTAATCGGGCCGTAAATTCGTTTATTTAATAAATAAACAAACATGAACAAATTTTTTTCGTTTAGTTAAACGAGCAATTTTTTTTCCCTTTAGTTAAATGAACAAGAGTCTTGTTTGTTATTCATGTTTGTGAACGTTCGCTCATTTACGTTCGTTTATGTTCGTTTATTATAACTTTTATTTATTTAATTTGAATTCAAATTTTAAAAAGCTTTTTCAGTATTGGTATATTAATGATGGTTGATGAGGATGATTGTTTTGTTTATGTTTAAATTATGGATAATTGGTGTGTAATAGTTAATTGAATGACAAGTATTGGTGTTCGTTTGTTTATGTTCGTTTAAACCTGTTTGTTTGTGTTTGTTTAGGCATGTCTGTTTATGTTCGCTTATGCTCGTTTAACCCCTTCATTTATGTTCGTTTAGCATGTAAACAAACGAACATAAACTAACACACGTGTTTTCTAAACGAACGAACACGAACACATCTGATTTCTAAACGTTTATCATTCGTGTTGTTCGTTTGTTCGGTTAAGTTAAACGAACGAACATGAACACGCCTTTGTTCTTGTCCGTTCGGTGTTGATTTATTGTCAACATTATGTTATTTTTATATTAGTTTTTGGTGTGTGTGTATATATATATATATATATATTAATAAAAGATGGTTGTCCAAAAAACATGTCAACCTAAAAGTTGTACAAACTCTCTTAGTTTGAAGGATAACTCTCTTAGTTTGAAGGATATCTAACTCTTTTTTAAATATTCACTTATTTTGTATTATTTGGTTGGTTTTGATTTCAACAATGGTTATATATTTTGCATTATTTGTTTGGTTCCTCATTTAATATATTATATTGATATTGACATTGATTGATAATTGATCTCAAATTCATTTTTTTCTTCTTTCAGATACTTACCTCTATCTTCGAAAATATCACATTCTCATGGACTTACGGCAATACCTTAACATGTTACTTCTTTATATATAGGCTTATTTTATTTTACTTCTAATTATATAATCAAGTTTAGTTATAATAAATAAATTTTAGATTCAATTTCATTGATAACAAACTAAAACAACCAATAAGGATAAATAGATCTCAGTTTCAGGGCCGTCCTTCAGCATGACTCCACATAAGGAGCTTTTCTTGTCATTTAAAGAAAAATAAGGAAGCAATATCCTCATGGAAAACAACACAGTGTGCAAAATCTTGGGCATTGGTGCCATCTAGATGAAGATGTTTTACGCCATTATTCAAATTATTTCAGATGTAAGGTATGTTCTCTTCATGATCAAATCTCTCATATTCCTTGGATAATTGGCACAGCTTGGGTGCAATATTAGTATGCAAGGCGACTCCTAGAGAATCTCCGGTGGGACTCTTAACCTAATCAAAAGTATGAAAGCTACAAATAATTTCTATTTTCTGGATAGACAAAGTGCAAATGCATTTGTAGGTAAAACCAATGCAAATAAGGTAGATGACTCCAAATGACATCTAAGACTTGGCCACACTATAGAGAAAAACTTGGAGATCTTACATAAACAGAACCTTATCAAGGAGATGGAATATAAGAGCTTAGATTTCTGCAAGGAATGCATCTTTGGGAAGCAAACAAATGTCTCTTTTGGTGTTGGCAAACACAATACAACGAGAATTCTTGTATATGTATACACAGATGTTTGGGGATCGGTTAGCACTAAATCCCATAGTGGAGGTCATTACTTTGTCTCTTTCATTGATGTTATTCTCATAAAGTTTGGATTTTTATTATGAAACAGTAATAAGAAGTGTTTGAGAAGTTCAAACAGTGGTTTTTCTGGGTGGAAACTTAACCCGGAAGGAAGTCGAAGTGTTGAAATCGGATAACGGTGGAGAATTCGAAAGTGGTAAGTTTCTCTCATTTTGCAAGGAAAGGGAATCCATCGACACTTCTGTTGGTCCCGTTAGGGTCTACAAGATGTGTACAACAGTTTGTAGAAGAGGGGAATGAATACAAACACAGAAACATTTCAAATTTAAAATATATATTGATGAAGAATGATTAATACAGATTTTACAAGATTGTTTGCGGAAATATAAGGTAAGAAAAAACCTATCTAAACAATCTAAAGATTACACACTAAATCTTAGCAAATGAAGAAAAGATTTGTTGTTAAAGAAATAGAAGAAGGTAAGTTCTATCTGGGAGAGAACTTGTTTAGATTACAATAAAAGAGATTCTCACTTGCTCTTGAAGATGAGCGTATTTGTTCTTAGATGTGTGTTTTTTTACTTAAGCATAAGATAGCTCAGAGTAAGGGTTTAGAATATATGTATATCTGCATGGAGATAGAACACATCTATTTATACTATTAAATGCACATTTAATGCAACGTAGTAGGGTTAGAACGTGTGTCAAGCCTTAAGGGGAAGACTTGTCCTTTGCTACAGTGAATAGTACAAAAGCCTATTCATGAGCAGACATCCTTTCACAAAGTTGGTAGGTAATAGAGTCAACTAGTCGGCTCCATACCGTACTAACTCTTAGAAAGGGTATGGGTTTGTCCTTTGTGTGTGCAAGGACAAGACAAAATCAATTGTGCTCAACAAGCTTCTTTTGATCGCTGAATGCTGGGATAACCTGGAGGTCTCTTCAGCATTCGCCGAGGCTTGGGTAGTATTCACACATATGTAGACAAGGTTGTAATCACTGAATACCGCTTCAGATCACGTACTCGCCAATCTCTTCAATTTCACTCTTCGACTTTCACTGAAGGTTCTTTGGTGTGAGTTTTGTCTTCTTGAAGTATTATTGTTGCTGATTGGATTCATAATACAAGTTTTTCAGCGATCACTGAACAAGCTCAGTGATGATCGCTGGAACTGAAAAATAGAAACCTAAATACTTTGCATAGGATATAAGGGATTATCATCAAATCAAATGAGAGAGAGGATCAACAACTTCACTACTCCACATGATCCACAATCAAATAGAGTAGTTGAATGCATGAATCTAACATTGAAAGCAAGATGTATGAGGTTAATCGCTGGTTTCCCTAAAGTTTTATGGACTAAAGATTTATCTATGATCATGCACATCATTAATCGCCTTCCATCATCAACGATTAATGGTAGGATTCCCGATGCGGTATGGAGAGGTAAGAAACCAATTTGTCTGAGTCTTATTCATATTTTTGGTTGCCCGATGCATGTCCATAATTGATACGTGCTGCAATAATGTACCTTTTTAGCACCCATTTAGGAAATTATTTACTATTTCTTATTCCCAAAGTCATATATTAAGTCCTTTTTTATTCTTATTTTACATGTTACCGATTCTGGAGTTAGGATTGAAGATTTGGATTTATTTTGGTTTATGTTTGCAATATAAGTAATATGTTCAAAGTTGTTGCAGCAGGTTGCTACAGTACTGCAAGAAGACAAAATAGAAGGTGGTGACTTTTGTAATGGCCACTTTTGGAAACCCTTTTAATCATAGATTGAGAGCAAACAACATGCTGGAAAAAGGCTTTAGTTGACTTTCTTAGATTTGTTTAATAGTTTCTTGAGACTCTTGGTTGATTGTGCTTGTTGAACAATACCCTTTGGGTTTTAGGGCCCCCCCTCTTTGGAAGCTTCCCTTTACTATATAATGAAGGCTTCATGTGTTTCAGAATCATTCCATATTGAATTCAATTCAACTTGTACTTGTAAAATTTATGGTACTTGTTTGTGTTTGGATTGGAAATGAATTTATAAGATTTTGGGTTAAGAATTATTGTCTCGAAATTGTTGCAACATGTTTTTCAGTTCTTACAGCACCAGTTCTCATAAAGTCTTTACATTCAAGACATTTACTTTCATTTTCGTTGCGTTTAAGTCATTTACTTTCAAGTTCTTTACATTCCAATCATTTACTTTCAAGCAATTTATATTTATGTCATTTACATTAATGTCTTTCTTGGGAGATTAAGCCAATGGTGCATGTGGATAATTGCTTTTGTGAGTCCACGAAATAATCAATCTTCAGATATCTTCATGAATTCAATGACAATCTCATATGAACATTCAAGAACACTTGAGAGGATTGAGAGAATTAATCAAATAGTCAAACCCTTACATTTCACTCTAAGTATACGTTTGATTTTACAATTGAGCTCTTCTACTAATTCACTACAAGACAAAGCTTTATATAGGGTCAAACATTGAACTCTTCTAGTCAAAGTCAACAAACACTTACAAAGTCAAACACGCTAATATTACAATTATAGACAATTATAGACTTTCAAGATGAATACAATTTAACACTAAAATTCAGTCCTAAAATTCTCCCCCTTTGTATTCAGGCTTGAAAGAATTTGTGCGCTTTGAAACTCGTGTGAACTTTGACGCTTTAAGTTATTTATGACTTCTTCAAAATCTTCAAAATCTTCAAAAGCAATCTTCTAACAATCTCTGCTTTAAGGAACTTCAGATAGACTTTTGTTGAGAAAATCTTCTAACATTCTCCCCCTCGAATATAGAATAGAAACGATCTTCTCTTTTTACAATAAAGAACAGTATTAGCAACAATTCTTCAGAAATGATCTTCAAGATATGATCTTCAAAGAATCTTCTTCAGATAACATTTTCTAACATTCTCCCCATAAACAAATTTCTTCAGATAAAGGTTCACAAATATTCTCCCCAAAATTAAACATTCTCTTCGTTGAGAAATCTCTATCAGTAAACATTTTGTAAAGATGATCTTCACATTCAACATCTCTCAGACAATGTTAAATAATCTTCAGTCACACTCCTTTGAGTCTTTTGCTGGTTCTCAATCTTTATCTCATACTCCCCTTTGATGCTACTCCCATTGATTTTTATATCATACTCTCCTTATATCATCCAGAATTGATTATTTCATTCATTATCACATACTCCCGCTT